GGGAAGCTATAATTAAATTGAGTAGGCATTTACTCTGTACTTGTATTCTCACATTAACATGTATATACATCAAAATGTATTATTTCATTATACTTTTATTCATTTTCCATTGCCTCAGGGAGGAAAAATAGTCTGTCCCCAATTGATAATAAAAGTCATCACGTAAGATAACCATAAGAAGAATGACAATAATGATTAATGATAGCAACTACCTTTTCTGCCACATACCACACCTTTACATTTTCACCCTCTGATGTACATACTATGGTCCAGGATCTCCAGGTGAAAAAATCTGAGTCTTGGGGGATTAAATAACTGTCTATCGTTGTCAGCTAACACTAATGGAGATGGGACTCAAATCCATGTTCCCTGACATTAAGCAAATGTTCTTAACCACAGATTCATAATGTTTCTCCATTTTAAAGATTCACACTTTTCCACAAGCACACTGTCTCAATGTAGAGATCAAGGTGACTCAGTAAGTCTTCCACACAATATTTTCCACAAGTAGTTACTGAAATGAACGCCTTCGGTGTATACTTCAATAACATGCCAACAGCTGATACGTTCGTATGATTATGGCTACTTTATACTACACAAGTACTAGCCTTGAATGTCAAACAAATAAACACAATGAGAACACTAAAATCAAATGCTACATATAAGGAATATATTAGTGTTAAAAGTCAGACAGTGGTTCAAATTTTTGAGACATGGGTTCTATTAGATTTTCATTAGGACTCTCTGCCTAAAGGCATTAATAACCTCTAATGTCTTGGAAGTGCAAATTTTACCTGGGTCATTATGGGAATGAGGTACCACAAAGACCTGAAGGGGCTCAGTGTCCCATTCATCCGTTTTGTAAGTAATGTCAAATCCTTGTTTCCAAACTCCACCATCTGGATTGTCAAAAGGAATTAGACTGTAAACATCCAACATCTAAAAATATAAAAGACACACACACACATACACACAAATCTTAGAATAAGTTTAAACAAGTAGAAATATTATTAATTTAAACTCAATGTTGGCAAATATTTGCTAAAAACTACTCATTGCTGTAATCTGCATATATATAAGAAAATAATTTCTGTAGAAGTGAATTGATACATAAATCATCATTTAAAGACGTAAAAATACTATTGTGCTACTGTCTGTCCTGGGGGAGTCCCGGTGTGGCGCTGTGGGTTAATGTGCCAGACTGCAAAGCCATGTGAACTGCAAAGTTGGTGGTTCAAGCTCACCAGTCACTCCTAGGAAACCCTATACAGGGTCGCTAGGGGTTGGAACCGACTCGAAGGCACTTAACAACAACAACAACTGACTGTCCTGAACTACCTGGCTCTAATAAAAAATAATTGCATCAAATTCCTGCCTACCTTACCTTACTTCCAATATAACTTAACAGAAATTGATAAGAAATGAGCGACAAAAAGGTTAAACACAGCTGTCTGCCACCTGACAGAACAGAACAGTGTGAGTGACACAATGGCAGAGTCCTTCCTTTCTGACTCAGGATTGTAACTCCACTGCCCTCCAGCAGTGCTACTCCATAACACAGAGGGCCACCAGCATTTGGAATCAACCAGAGGACAATGAGCTTAGCTCTTGGCTTTTTACCCTTTACAAGAAACAGACTGCAAACCGAATATGTTATTTTACATTTTCTAGTAAAAGTGAACACAAGTGACAATAATGTAATGATTGTTGTTATTGCTGTTGTTAAGTGCCATCGAGTCTGTTTCAACTTACAGTGACCCGGTCTGTATAGGGTTTCTGAAGAGCAACTGGTAGGTTTGAATCACCGACCTTGTATAGTGCTTATCTTACAGCTCACATCAGAACTCCAATTTAATAACTCATGCCATTTAATCCAACATATCCAAAAATATTATCTCAAGACATGATCAATATAAAAAAATTAATATTTTATGATTTTTGTTTACTATGTCTTTAGTATCTTATGTGCATTTCACTCAGTTGTTGTTAAAAAGCTGACAGTTCCAACTCATAGCGACCCTGTATAGGGTTTCCAAGGAGAGGATGGTGCGTTTGAACTGCCAACCTTGTGGTTAACAGTCCAGTGCTGATCCTACAGCACCAATCCAGGGCTTAAACCTAGCCACCTAGCCACATTTCAAGTGCTCACATCTCAACAGTGGCTTCCAAATTAAAAGGTCCAACTCTGGAACATTTCTTTTCCCCTAATCAAACAGTAAAGGAGCTCTGATAGCACAGTGGTTACAAATCGGGCTGCGAACCTTAAGGCCAGCAGTTCGAAACTATCAGCTGCTCTGCGAGAGAAAGATGAGGCATTCTGCTCGCGTGAAGATTTACAGCCTCGGAAACCCTGTACAGGGTCGCTATGGGTCGGAACCGACTAGAAGGCATTTAACAACAATAACAATCAAACAGTAAGACTCCCTGGTGGCACAGCGGGTTAAGCGTTGGGCTGTTAACCACAAATTCTGCAGTTCAAACCCACCAGTTGCTTGGAGGGAGAAAGATGAAGGTGTCTGCTGCCATAAAGGTCTGCAATCTCAGAAACCCTCCAGAGCAGTGTCTACTTACTATGCCCTATGGGAATGGGGTCACTTTGAACCAGAAGCTGTCTCTCCAAACAGTATCAGGCAAACAAAACAAAACAACCTAACACTACACTGTATGAAATCTATACTGGTGATACAGCTATCCTGCAGTAGAGTTCTTCTAATACTCATAAAAGAAATTAAGAAAATCTCTGCGCAAATGTAACCCACCAAGGTTTTTAACGAATGCAGAAAATAAAACGGGAAAAGCATACAAAAAGGCTATCTTCACAAAAGTATGAAATAATGACAAAAATTTGTAGAAAACACAAAACCACAGAATTTTATTACTAAAAAGAACACCAAAGATCACATGACTAATCAAATCACTCTATGAAGACAGAAAGTGGAATCAAAAGGGTTTAAGCAATTCAACAAGTTCAAACAGGTTTTAAACACAAACCAAAAAGTTCCATGACTATTAATAAACGTATACATTACCTGCACATCTGAATTCTGACTTCCACTTTGTGAAGCAAACAGACAGTCTTTGGGGTCGATTGAGAGGGATGATTGTGGGGACAGCCGAAGACGTGAGCCAGCACCTTGACTGAAATTGCCTTGGGAACTTTTCGGGCCATCCTCCACAGACCCACTCAAATTGATGACCGAGTCTCTAATATTTGAGATGATCTCATTATTTTCAGCTAGCAAACGCTCCAAATGGTCTATTTTTTCTTGCAACATCGAGAGTTGGCCCTACAATAAAATAAAAAAAGCCAGCTATATGAAACTCTAATATAGCTCTGCTGAGGCCAACACATTTTTTTTTTCTTAAATTATGTGCCTGCCCAAGAAGGCAGTCACTCACCCTTCACTTTCCACTTTCATAAGTGGGATCATAGAAAACATGAACAGCTGCCAGGGCTTAAACACCAATTTATAGCAGAAAATCTCCTTCAGGGCTGCAATGTTTGTTTAATCATATTTTTAAATGTGCAACAGAAACACCAAAAAAATCTGGGTTCTAGTTCCCATAACAAATCCAACACAAACCCAGCCCTAAAAGAAAGATCTTTGAGGTCTCTGGAATCACTAATATAGTAAAAGCAGACTGTACTCAGATATGAAATATTCAAGTTAAGCATAACTAATTCTAGTTACTTAAAAACATCCAAAGATATAAACCTAAATTTGATCTCATTCCATAACAGTAGGGGACACCGAAATAAAAAATAGAATCTACAGAAAAAATCACTTGGTCAACTCTTAATTAGCTAAACACATAAAGAAGATTGGCATGAACGTCCCCCAAGTAACCAACACCATCAGTCATTTATATCGCTTCTACTATACTGTGTTACTTTTCAGTTAATGTTTTTGTTTTAAAATTGATCTCCACGTTACCAGACTTGCTGTTTCTATAATACAAACTTTGTTACTTAGAATAGTATTTCAGCTTACGGATTTTAAGCACCATGAAAGCACGGACAATGTTTGTCTGCTCACCCTTATAGTCCATACATAACAGATATTCAAATATTTGTCAAATGACCCTCACACTTCTGGAACTCAACAATAATTCTCTTGTGAACGAACACCATTTTGCTAGACATAATGCTGGAAAAACAAGAATGAATAAGATGTGGCTCTCTGTCCGTATGAACAAAGAGCACACACTGTAACTAACAATAACTTTTCCCCATGTTACAAAAAATACATAATGGTGAGCAAACAACCCTAGACATGCAGAAACGAAAGTCATATTACCAGTAAGTTAACAGAAAGGAAGGGACAAAGGATGAAGGGAAAAGAGGAGAAAATGGCTAAATGAAAACAGGAGATTGTTCAAGCACTACATCTATATCATGGAATTGTTTTCAGAAAATTTAGAAATTTAAGAAAATAAAAATATCTGGAAAGATATTTCCAGGAGACAAAGCAGTTTTAAAATAGTAGGTATGACATAATCTCCTTTTCAAAAAACATACATGGAAAGCCATGCATCGAGATGGTAAACACTGGTTATGGATGATTTATGGTCTTCTTCATTGTTGCTAAGTGCCTTCAAGTCAGTTCCAAATCATAGCAACCCTGTATAGGTTTCCAAGCAGCACGTGGTAAGTTTGAACCACCAACCTTGCAGCTCAAGTCGACGTTACGATCTAGTGCTATCCTACAGCAATACACCAGGACTTCCTTGTTGTTAAGTGCCACCGAGTTGATTCCGACCCATAGCGACCCTGTATAGTGTTTCCAAGGAGCGGCTTGTGAGCTTGAACTGCTGACTTC